GACATGCCTTCAAACCAACCAGAGAATACAAACACATAGGGGATATGGGGGTTTGGGATTCATAAGTCATAATAAGTGACTGACAGAGTTCATATATGAGAAAACATCAATTCCGAAGAGAAAGGGGCAAATTACAGTATGCTCAGTAATAGAACTTGACTAAACACAAGCAGGAAACAGGCAAGAGTGAAGGAAATAGCAGAGAAAACATGTTGTGTTTGATGCTTGAAAATTAATTAGAACATACCAGTAAAGAAGCAAATGCAGAAAGAAAGGTAAGCAAATTTCCACAGCCTAGCCTTGGCTTTCAGCCGGCTAGACAAGGCAACAACACAAGTAGTAACAGAGAAAAGAGAAAGAGTTTTGAGTGAACTGTGTGTTCTGAACTCAAGTGTTTCGTTCCTTGTTGTTCGTTGTCTTTGAAAGAAGAGGGGTGCAGGGTATATATAGCTTTTTGAAAACGAGTGAAGGAGAGGTAATAAGTAAAGTTTTTGTACAAATATGGAAACAATCAACAGTCAGAATCAATTATACAAGTGATTCCCTTTAATTAAGGAATCACTTGTCTAACGGGTAGTAACAGATTCAAATAAGGAAAGAGCTCATTTTAGAGGCGGACTGATTATTGCCATAAAAGAAGTAGTACAAGCATTAAGTAAGTAATCAAGTCTAGGTACAGAAATATACTTATTTTGGAAAAGATTCAGTAAGGCAAAGTAACATAGTAAAGGGGAAAGAATCAATCAATTTGAACGGGCGAGTGAAATCAGGGTTCATAAAAGGGAAACTTTAGAAATCAGTCACAAGATGAAGATCAATCAAGGAAGAAACTTCAGCATGTAAATAAAGTGATCATCAGACATGCGAGGCCAAACTTATTGACAAAATCACAAACAGGCAGTAGAGGCAGAAATAAGCTAGGGTTCAGTAGTAAAGCAAACATTCGAAGCATAGTAATCAAGTAGGTCGAGTCACATTGAATTAACAGGGAAGAAAACAGAGCATCAGAAACATGCAAAGGTTTCACAATAGCAGGTGAGGAAACCCCTTTTTAAAAGTTAGGGTTTCAACCCTAGTCGAGTTGAAAGATAGTAAAAAAAATCAGATGAGTCACATAGAGAAAAGAGAGAGTCTAAAACAAAAGCTTTCAGTCGATTCAAGTACTCAAACAAACAATTTCAGGCCCAAAGACCTAGGGTTTCAACAACAATAGATTTTAAAAGGTGACAAACAAATAAATCAAACAAGTGCTAGCAAACAGTTTCAGAATTCGAATGAACCCCAAAAGAAATTAGGGTTTTCAACATGCTAACTCAGATAGGAGAACAACATGAGCAAGACATAGAAAAATCACAGACACGTTAAAATCAGAGAAGAGATTTTGAAAAGAAAAACTTGAAGAAAAACCCTAATCGGAAAGTGAAGAGTCATTTTGAAAGAAAGGTCAAAGAAACTTCGAGAAGCACTTAAAAAGTTCATGGCAATCATAGATCTAAGGTGGATCTGAAAGCAATCGAAAAAGTCTTAGAGATTAGGGTTTCAGAAAACCCAAAAGCAATGAGAAAGGCCTTGAAAGTTACCGATCTAACCAGGAGAGTCAAGGATCTGACTCGAATGGCCATGGCTGGCCGGAGAAAGGTCAGGGATGACCGGAGAAAGGTCATCGCTCTGTTTTAAAAGGCAGAATTGGGAGTCGCCCGGGGCTCGCCCCGGGGCGGAGCACTCGTAAAACGCCCCTAGGCTTATGTGTGGGGCTTAGTTCCGTGAGACTTACGCCTCGGCCATCGGGGCTTACGCCCCGGACACGCCCAACGCCCAGCATACTGGGCTCGCCTAATAGAACTTTATGCAATTGTATGTAACTAACCTTATAAATCCTCAATTGTTCTTAATAAATCATTGACTATTCAAAATTACTTTTTTCTTAATCATAAATCATTAAGTTGAGAGTATTTTATATCATAATTAAAATAAAAATTATTGTACGTTATCCACTAAGACTGCTATGATAGTTAATTTTAAATAAATCTTTCATTTAAAAAGTAATTATTTATTAACTTTTGTTATGTCTTTACTATATAATAGTTCATAATTTTTTATAATTATTTTTCTAAATATTATTTTTTTTCATGTTTACGAGATACAATACTTATTAATTTCATAGCTCAGTATTAGCTAGTAACTATTTATAATTAGTTATCATGGTATTGTATGGTATTATGTGTCACTTTATTAACTTGTTGAAACTTAAAAATAAATGATGCTAGAGAATCATATTGAAATTGTGAATTATGTTTTTATATTAATTCCTTTCAAATAGAAAGCATATTAAATAAAAGGAGTATTTTAAGAAAAATATCAAATTATAATACCGAAATTCTTTGAAGATTCATTACTCCTTAAGAGATACATATAAGATTTCGTATCGAATATATTATTTTTGATGTTTGAGTTATAATGACGTTGCAGCTAATTTGCATATTATGATATATGTCATACTTTCATATTATTCATAGTTGAATTATACTTTATAAATATTTTAAATAGATTGTTTGTTATAATTTTGTGATTTTAATGTAATTTTTATAATTATTTTTTATTTTATACTATTTTAAAAATTTTAAAATTAGTAAAATTTAAAGATCTGTGGGACTTACGCCCCATGTCTCAGGGCTTACGCCTCGCCTCGTCTGAGGTAAAACGCCTCGCCTTACGCCCCCGCCTTTTAAAACATTGGGTCATCGAGCAAGGACCGGACCAAATCCCTTCGAGGTCTGGTCATGAAACCATAGAACCAAACACATAGGAGCCATGGAAGGCTGGTACAGACCTCAAATGACCACGGAAGGCCATAGTTAGGTAGGTATTAGGGTGGATTAGGGTGGCGCCGGCTAGGGTTTAGGTGGTGTTGCAGAGACGGTTTGAGAGGAAGGGGGTTCAAGGGCGGCGGTAGGTGAGAAATGATAGGGTTTTGGGGTCGTTTGGAATTAATTAAGGAAAGGGCGAGTATTGGCCGTTGATCTGAATGTCAACGGTCTAGATTAAAACGGGTAAGTGGGGCGGTTTATGAAGCTGGGTTTGGGCCTGGTCCGATGGGTTCAATTGGGTTGAGGATTGGGTTTAAATTGGGGTAGAATTTAGGCTATAATTGAATCGTAACTGGGCTATCATTTAAACAGCCAATTTTCCCCAATTAAAATTATAAAAAATAGTAAATTCAGTTCTGGAAATAAATTAAAAGTACTAGAATGATTTATGACATATAATTAACCATTTAAAAATACTGAACTTAGTTTTCATGAACATAACAATTAAATCCTAAAAGAGGCTAATATTGCAATTATACAATTTAGCCCTAAAAAAATACTAAATAATTTTGTAAAAAATATGCGAAAATTCCCTTAGCTATAATTTAGCATAAGTATAAAATTTTAACAAGTGAATCACCAAAAATGATAATTTTAGAAATTATTACTGGGTTTTTATGGATAAAATAGGGGAATAAATTGATTTAAAAACCTTAAAAAATTAAGAAAAAATAATAAAACATTTGAGAGCGCTTACAAATGCGCGCATATGCTATTTTGAAGGTATTTTGCATATTAAATATATATAGGAAAAAATTGGGTATCAACAGCTGTACATTTTTAGTTTGTAGGAACTTACCTGAGTTAGCGTCGAACATGTTTACCTGTATCCGTTGTGCTGATGGTGCGTGGTGTTGGTCGTTTGCCGATCCATTATTCCTCTCTTTCACCTTTTGTTGATCCGATTTTTTCTTTCTTGGGAAGGTTACTGTCTTCCATTCATTCTCCTCTCCTTTTTCGTATTTTTCTGAGGTTTCTGGTGTTTCATGTTGTGTGGGGGATTGAACTTTTTTGTAGTTGCAGTTTCTTGATATGTGCCCAATTCTTCCGCAGGTCGTACATAATGTACCCTCCCCCCCCCCCCCCATAAATCATTGTTTTGTGGTCTTCAATTATTACATATGTTTCTACTGGTCATTCTAAAGGTACTTGAATGCATATGCGTGCGTACCTTCCTCTCAGGGTGGAGGAGGTACATAAGTCAATTTTTAGTAATTTGCCCAATTTCCTGCCAACTTTCTCCAGAATTTCTTTGGCATAGAACTCTGTTGGGAGTTATGGGAGACGAATCCGAATAGCTATGGTAGAGAGTGTAGCTTCTTGTGGTACAAATTTTGGTCCCCATTTTCGAACGGAGAGGAAATTTGCAGAGACAAACCATGGTCCTAGATGTAGTGCTTTAGCCATATTTTCTTCTAGACTAAATTTGACTATGAAGAAGCCCCATCCTAGGTCAATCAAGATTAACTGTTCGGATGGTTTTCATAAGTCAATTAGTTTAGACCGAAGATATTGGTGTGACATTCTACGTCCAAAGACCTTTATGATTACAAAGTAACACCATGGGAAGTAAAGGCGTTTCTTGTCGTCTTGTGAAAGTGGGATTGAGCCTTCAATGTTTTTTCCTTTGTCATCTTTGCTGATTGTGGAGGCATCTTCCTCATGCTGATTGTGGAGGCATCTTCCATATGGTTGTTCTTGTCCGATGGTTCCGACTGTATCCATGGGAGTTAAGATCTAGAGAGAATTTTACTGCACAAAGCTAGTCCCTCACTCTTCTTTTTCTTTCGGTATGCTAGTGTTCCTTTGAGATCTCTTAAATATTTGGGGGCGCAGTGGGCATTTGGACATAAGAATTGTAAAATTCTAAAAAAAATGAAGAAAAAAAAAATCAAGTAAAAATGGTATTTGAAAATTAGAGTTGTGTTTGGACATGAATATAATTTCTCGTTGTTTTTGAAGTTTTGTGAGTGATCTGAGTGAAAATTTTGAAAAATAGTTTTTGGGAATTTTTTTAAATTTTCAAAAAATTCCAAATCTTCAAGTGAAAATTGAAAATTTTATGAACAAATACTGATTTCGGAAAAAAGTGGAATTTTTCCAAAAAAAAAAAGAAAAAAGGGAACAAATTTCTTACGGGCTCTAAGGCAAGGCCTTACCCTAGAGCCGCCCTTCCTCTCTACAGCTAAACTTGCAGCTCTTCAATCTCCGTCTGCTGCTAAACTCTTCATATTCTGTATCTCTGACCCAATAAAATTGTATGTATTTCTCTTTCTATCTACACTTAATTTCATCATTTCATGTCTTTGCAATAATTTTAATCGTAAAAGCACTAATTTTTGTGAATTTGATTGTAATGCTGCGTCTGTTCCCATTGCTTAAATTAAAGCCTCAACTTTGATATCATAGTTGTGAATTGACTTCTATATTAAACGTGCTCCAAAAAAAAAAAAGGATTCCACTAATTTGAAATAGAGTCTTGCTTCCTTTTCTACCTTTTACTTTGAATAGCACTATGCGATATGCTATTTTCGGCTTCAATTATTATTTTTTGAATGATAAATTTATAATTGTGATTGATCTAGATGGCACTAAGAGGTGTTTGGCAGCTAAAGAAGCTGGTAGTGAGCTATTGCAATTGGGGTGGCAGTAGCAGAGGAATAAGGTAAAGGTTAGCTTGACCCCTGTTGTCTTATTCCTTACGTCCGGTTTATATGATCCTATTTCCTTTCTAGTCTGCTTAAGAAAAAATTACCTCTTTCTAAAATTTTAAACAATGTAACTTAACTTTCCATTTTACCCTTAATAGCAAGCTTTTATCGTCACACAAATGTTGTGACACGTTTAAGACTACAAGTTTCAGAAGCCTTATAGTCAAAAATGTTATGACATGTTTAAAACCACAAGTTTAAAAAGTCTTCGTAAGGAGACTGTTTCTACATAACGAGAATTTATATCATTTCAGCCTTGACAATGCATCTTTATTCATAATTATCCCACCTTCGCAAATTTAGAAGTGTTTCACGCGTATCTTTATGCATCTCAATTTAATAACCTCTTCTGAACTTTGTTGTCTTATAATTTTTGGTGCTTGTGAATTATGGTCAACCGAAATGGGAATGAAAGGAGCATTTTTGTTTCTTTGATAAGTGGGATTGACGGAGTATTATAAGTTATTAGTCTGACTTTTATTTGAATTTCTTTTTCAAACCTAATCGGAATATTGGCACAATCTAAATATAACAAGAAAGTTCGTTTTTTCATGTGGAAATCAATTAAGAAGCATCACTGCATATATTTTGATTTGTGTATGTTGTTGATGGGCCATACTGCAATTCCACATATGAGTTGTTCAGTCCTATTTGAAGTTTAAACATGTAGGAATTGTAATTAGAGGAAAATACTGTGACTCTTGATTGTAAAACAAAATGGGTTAACAATTATTTATCAGACTTTTAGCAGAAAAGAGGAAAAAGAATGTGCTGCTAGTTTTCGGATGATTGAGGTAGAGGAATATATATAGCTGTGGTTGTAACTTCTATGGTATATGTTAAGGTATGCATCTACTATTTCAGGGCATTCATGGAGTCTGAATTGCCAGCATTAAAGGAACAAAATACACAGCTTGAGGTGGTCACTGAACTCAATCGTGGTCAACATCCTTTCTTGAAGGGATTATACAGTAAAACCTCTCAACGTTCTCTCAATTCTGTGCTGTAAAAAAAGTATTGTGTCTGAGAGGGATGCATGTAAAGAAAATTAATTAGCAAGGGTAGTGTCAGTTGAATTACACATGTGGGGCTCAATGGAACATGACTGACTCAAGATCACACATGAGGCTCCGTATTTCTCTCTTCAACTTGACAGATGTAAAAAAAGGAGTCAATCCCACCGATTCAGTGAGAAATAACATCGTTCATGGCATCTTTGGGATAATAACTTCAAAACAAGACTCGTGCACGTATCTTGTCAAAAAGCTTATGATTTCTACATGCAAGTATTATCTTCTACGAATCAATTTTCCTAGCAATGCCACGAATGGTATTATCTCTCACTGGGTAGATGTGACTGACTCCTTATTTGATATCTTTCCAGACATGGCTGAAGAGAGAGATACTGAGTCTCAGAAGTAATTTCGAGATCAGATGTAGTCCACTGAGCCCCATATCGTCCGTTGAGGTGTTATTTGTGATGTTCGAGTTTTGTTTAGCATTTGTGCACAGTTGTGATAAAACTCTAGATGCTCCATACGTGTAACGTATTTGTTATGTGTTTAATATATGGCTATCCTAGTTTGGACGTGTTTTATGTGTTTGTGACTATGAATGATCTCTATGACTAGTAAGCAGTTGCGTTAAGATTCATTATGTTAGGATGGAGTTTGTCCAGCTCCTGGGTAAATTCTGCCTAAAATTCTATTGATGGGTTAGACTCTCGACGCGGGTTAAGCCCTTCTAAGGTGCCGGTCATGGTTTCCTAGTTGGTTTGTCACACTCACACCTGGACCAATGCTACTTAATAACAGGCCTTAGGTTGCTTGTTACCATTGGGCTACAAGCCGGCAGACAGGTTTGAGATAGCTAAAAGAAGAGTCAAAGCTAATGTGTTTGCTCATAGGGGTGGGCATCGGTCGGTTCGGTCGGTTATTATGAAAGTACGGTTCGATTTATCGGTTTTCGGTTTTGTAATATTAATAACCAAATCAAACCAAAGTATTTACGGTTCGGTGCGGTTTTTTCAAAGTTCGGTTCGGTTATTTTCGGTTTTGGTTTTTCGGTTATTAACGGTTCAAGATTTTTATATCTTAGATTTACTTCCAGTGGTCATAAACTTCCACTGATTTTTGCATAATATAAAAACTGGGCAATGGGCAGTGGGCATATCGTTGACATAATCTTCCAGTGATTTTTGCATCTTGAGCCACTAGGTGTTTTATTTACGTAATTACATAGTCTTAGACAAAACTGGAGTTCAATTTATGCTTTTTGATTAATTATCATAGGGACCAAAGTTGTTGTGACAAAGGATGAGCTGCACTGAATACTGTTGAATGAGGTTGGTTATATTCACACTTTCAATGTTAGGTGCATGGTCGTTTGTCTTAGTTAAATTTCCTGCAGTCATATTCATAGAGTGATCAATGGCTGCACCTGTCCATCTTTATACATTTCTAGGTTGCTCAGTGCAGAAGTTAGCTTTATACCTATGTTGTTTGATGCAATACAAATATTCAACTAGTCAAAAGGGGAAAGATACGTATAGTACCAGTTTGATAGTTTAGAATCAAAACACTGTAGTGAGTAGGCATCTTCCATTCTTACCTTTCAAGTCCACTAGCAGGATTTCATAATATAACAAATTAACAATTAACCTTTCAAGTCCAAACAAGCTGGCAATATACGAATCACGGGATTTCACAAACAAGCTAACCTTTCAAGTCCAAACAGAAGTTCTGTTACAGAACACAGAAGCTACCGAACACAACAGAAAAATTTCGGTTTTTCGGTTTAACCGAAAACCGAAACGCCAAAACCGTAAACCGCACTGAAAAACCAAAATTTAATAATTAAAAAACCGTGCACCGACCGAATAACCGATTAAACCGAAACCGAAAAACCGAAATTCACGGTTCGGTAGGTTTTTTCGGTTCGGCCGGTATTATGCCCACCCCTACTTGCTCATATCAAACGCATTTTGCCACCCACTACCCCGTCCCAAAGAAGACAAATACCTATAAATGCACTATACAAAAATGTGTCGAGACGATAATATACTAATTATGCCTTGTATATTTGTTGTATTGGTTTATTTAAAAACCAGCTGTTTGTCCTGTAATTTCTCTTCACGGGTGAAAATTCATGCATGAGCATATAACATCCAAATCAGTCTGTAATGTGTGCCATTTCATGTGTGTAACTAACTATAATTGGGTTCTGATTTGCTTCACATTTTTTTTTAATTTGCTTTACAATTAGAGAACAAGAATGAGCGTGTTGTATGTGTGAGAAATTTGAGTCAAGACGAAGTACTTGAAGCAGCGACCAAGCTAAGGAATTCACTTGGCAGAAAGGTGGTGAAGATGAAGACTCGACATGTTACAAAACAACCAAGCGTCCAAGGTACATGGTCAACAGCATTGAAGTTATAAGCCAAAAGGAATAGTTCAATGCAGGTGTTTTTGACTTCCTAGGTTTTATAATTTGGATCTTTAAGTCAGGGGTGTAGTTATGGATTATGTGGTCTACATGTAGCGAGAAGATAGACTTTTTCAATGTGATGCACTCCATAATGTAATAATTTACTCATGATGCTACTGGAGTAATGGAATGGAGTTTGCTATGGTCATGTTGAAGTTCTGCACTTGATGTGATGTTAGTCAAAAGTTAAATCCTTTGGCTGAAAAATGTTGGTCATACATACAGTGACCCTGATTTGCTTTTCTTCATTGTTTTTCCAGTTTCTTAATTGCCAGGATTGTTGAGGAGCTTTTAGCTTCTTTTCAGACCATTGTCGTTTGCTGGTGTAGCAGGGAGATTTAATCTCCACATAATATTCAGCATTTTTGCTGTTATTTTTGTTTTCCTCATAAATAATTATACATGGATTAACATCAGTAAGATAGCGTTCCCACGGTTTCTTGCAAGATTTAGTGATGTTTAGATGACATTGTTTCAGAAAATGTTATTTTGGCTTCCAATGGTCATTTCTTGACCTTTAACGATAATTTATGAATGAAAAAAAAAAAAAAAAAAAAAAACAGTTGTAATGTTGATTTTTGTCTACATTAGTCATCTTTAGGCTTTCGATGGTTTTGTTTAGATCAAAAAAGGATCAAACGAATAATAATTTAGGAAAAATGACACTGTATAGCCGCTATAAAAATAATAGCTGAAAAAATGTATAAAATTTGTATATTATTTTTGTATATATATACATTCTGTATGTTACATACAAAAATTATACAAATTTTATACACTTTTTCGACTATCAAATGTAGATAGTTTCTGGCATGGGCTAAAAGTAATAATATCTCAATAATTAATTTATGTGGAACAACTATTTTTGAGCTGCTTTTCATCTTGCAAAATTTGGAAAAAGGATAAAATTTAAAAAGCACCAAAATTTGTATTAAATCATTCAGTTTTATATTTGCAAGAATATATAAAATACTTCATTGTTTTTCCATCTTATACGATATTAGTTTTTTTTTTTTTTAAACTAGGGAATACGCAGCCACTATCCTTCAGATGCGCTCTGGGTAAACTCTGTCCCAATACAATAGCGAGCTAACTATGCTGGAGAGGTAGACCGCACTAGACAAGCCCCGTGTGGTCAGCTCGACCTGCGACACAAAGAGAGTGGCTATCTTTTTATAGTATTTAATAACAATTTTAAAATATCCATATCCATTTTACATTTAATAGCATAGTTTGTATATTCACTAAAATCTTATTGCAAATTGAGCACGAAGTCACAAGTGTCCATTTTCTACTCCGTCGGGACCTTAGCTAGTTTTTTGCATATAAATGGGAGTATTTTGTCGAGATATCTTCATTTATCATATGACCAACTCTCCGTAAATTCATTTCCCAAAGTTTTTTCTCTCAAATTGTGGCATAAAGTGTTTGCACACACTTGATAAATGTATTTATATCCTTATCATTCAGTGGTGCAACATGAATTAGGAATTTCGTATGTGATGTCATCATGGATATATATGTAGGTATTGCCAATTTCGTATTTATTTCCTTTTACATGACTTGGTGGTTCATTCATTTTGTGGATGACTTCTTTACTCCAATCTATAATCATTTGGGAAAAGAGCTCAGGCTTTGAGATTGATTTATAAATGAGCTCGATCTGCATTTATCATTAGTGTTTTCTACTTATTCACAGGCCTTGGATTTGTTGACTTTCATCTTCTTCTTCGTTGGGGTATTCATATGAGGTTAGGTGCTTCTCTTCTGTAACAAACAAATAAATAAACTGGAGCTAACTTCTTGATTAAATATTCAAATGCAACTATTACAAACTACTAACTTTGTCTAGAACAAGGAAACTGCAGAAATTGAATACTAACTGACTGGGATTAGAGATAAGAAGGAAAGATGGGAAACTTGGAGAAGAAGTGGGGAAGAGAACATAGACAATGCTGATTACTAACTGCCTACCCATTTTCCCCATGTTCCCTGCTATTTGTAACCACTCTGAACCCTCTTCCCCATCATTGTTGTGCTGAGTCACCCTTCCAAATGAAATCAGTTAGTCTTCTACTGGGTTGTTTAATTCTATTACTTCTTCTTAGATTAGTTCCAGGCCCAATATTCTCTGCAAATGACTCCACCCTAGGCCCACACACTTCTTCAGCTGATTCTAGGCCCAATTCTTGAACTGGATTCATAACATCTTCTATCGAGTGGTTCATCAAAAAAATGCCCCTCATGAGCGCAAATTAGCTCAGCAATTTCACTTACTAAATTTTCAAGTTTGATTTTGAACGTTCCAAGTACTAAACATAATGCCACAAAACACAAGTGGCCAGGTAGGATCTCCATGAAGGGGTTCAAAAAAAAATTTTGTAAATAGTGGGAATTGAACATATGACCTTATGAAGGTTTTGAACCCCCTTGACTACTAAACTACACTTCTGCGTTGTGTTAAGGGGGTTCGAAACTTAATATATAGAGGTAAAAAACAACGGAGGCGAACCCCCTTCCGCCCCCCTAAATCCGCCCCTGGTGGCCATAATTAGGCATCCTATGCATTTGGCTTCATAACTTCAACTGTCAGAGGAACTCTGCTGTGTTTATGTCCCGATATATATATATAGATAGATAGATAGATAGATAGATAGATAGATAGATAGATATCTTGTGAATTCTAATGATATTATGAGGCCCAATCTCTCTCTGTTCGAGAGGGGATAGGTAATACTATAAATTGGAAAAATTACATACGTTGCAATTTTTACCTTCATTGATGTTACTATATATGTTTGACTTGCAAATGATGTATAAATTGTCATGGCTGTACCAAAGATGGATACTAAACATGCAAGAAGTGCAATCCATTTTATCTCCAAGAGTTGGAAATTTTGCAGTTTGATTACTCATAATTTCAACGTCCATCCCCGAGAAAAGATGGCCAGACTTGTTAATCATTCATGGATAGAGGCTAGAGGTTTGGAGACATGCCATAACGCATCATATTCAAGGGGAGGTGCCATGGTGCATGCTATTTGCTGATGACATAGTCCTAATTGACGAGACACGACACGGCGTTAACGAGAGGCTAGAGGTTTGGAGACATGCCCTTGAGTCAAAAGGTTTCAGGTTGAGCAGGACGAAGACCGAATACCTCGAGTGCAAATTTGGGGCCAAGCCGATGAAGCGGGAGTGGAAGTGAGGCTTGACTCTCAAGTCATCCCTAAGAGGGGTAGTTTCAAGTACCTTGGGTCAGTTATTCAGGGGACCGGGGAGATCGACGAGGATGTCACACACCGTATAGGGGTGGGGTGGATGAAGTGGAGGTTACCGACGGGAGTCCTGTGTGACAAGAAAGTGCCAACGTTACTGAAAGGTAAGTTTTATAGAGCAGTGGTTAGGTCTGCCATGTTGTATGGGACCGAGTGTTGGCCGGTTAAGAACTCACACATCCAGAAGATGAAAGTTGCAGAGATGAGGATGTTGAGGTGGATGTGGATGTGTGGGCATACAAGGATGGATAAGATTAGGAATGAAGATATTCGAGAGAAGGTGGGTGTGGCCCCCATGGAGGACAAGATGCGGGAAGCAAGACTCAGATGGCTCGGGCACATTCAGAGGAGGAGCACTGATGCACCGGTGAGAAGGTGTGAGCGACTGGCTGTGCTGGGCACGAGGAGAGGTAGAGGGAGACCTAAGAAGTATTGGGGAGAGGTGATCAGGCAGGACATGGCGCGACTTAGGATTACTGAGGACAGGCCCTTAACGGGGAATTGTGGAGGTCGAGCATTAAAGTTGTAGGTTAGGGGGAAGTTGTGAATATTTCTACAGCGCACTAGAGTGAGACTAGCCAGTTAGGAGTTAGTCGTAGGATGCTTCTGATCAGCTACTGATGCTGGGCTTTATCTGTTGGTTATTAGTATACTTTCCATCCTTTTCGTATTTCCTATATTTCTTATACTGCTGTTATTTTGTTATTTTATGCTATGTTATGTATTCTATGTTATTTTATGTTATTTTATTATGAGTCTATTGATAGTACTAATATATCGTCTCTTGTTGCTTTCTTGAGCCGAAGGTCTCCTGGAAACAGCCTCTCTGCCCCTCGGGGTAGGGGTAAGGTCTGCGTACATATTACCCTCCCCAGACCCCACTTGTGGGATTATACTGGGTTGTTGTTGTTGTTGTTGTTGTTGTTGTTGTGATCATCTGATTTTTGTAAAACAAACAAGATTTTGTCAAATGAGTTCTACTTGAATATTGAGTACGGTTCTCTGTATTATGAGATCGAAAATCCCTTGTCTACTATCATTCAGTTGGGTTCACCTTTCCTCTGCTACCATTAAGAATAAATGCAAAGTTTGGAAACCATTTTAAATTTGTTTCGAAAGAATTAAAAGTTAAAATGGTGGTACCAAATGGTTGGGAATTGTATTCCAAGTTACTTTTTGTACAGTTTTGTTGAATAGATAAGCAAAACATCCGTTATCGTCCAGCGGTTAGGATATCTGGCTTTCACTCAGGACACCCGGGTTCAATTCCGGTAACGGAATTATTTTTCTGATAATATCCTTTTAACCTAAACTCACTTGCAGCAAGCACATCAGGTTACTAATTTCAAGATGAAAATACTGACAGAGTCCATTCTGAACCCTAAAATCCTACATCTTTGGTGAATGCACGCCGATGGTACAAGATCCTAGAATTCGGAATTTTTGCTTCTAGTCTATGAAATATTCCCACCATAACCAAATTTAACTTGCATTAATCAACAGATAAAAAAGAAAAAAACATTAAAAACACGGAACTGCTAGTTTAGCGCTGATCTAAGTTCTGAATACCAATGCCAAAGAAATTGTAAGCATAACATGATTGGTGAAGTCAATAGCTTCTCAGGTAACAAAATTTTCCAAAAAGTGCTATTTCCACATAGCTTCCACCCGCTTCAGCAGCAAAACTTTACAAAAATCTAGTGCTGTTAGCAAAAACATAATTTAATACTTAGTACAAGTCCACCGACTTCAGCAGCACAAGTTTACAAAATTCTGCTGAATATAGTTCAACTTTTAGCACAAGGCCATGTAATCAGCTATTGACTAACAAAAAATAGATCTAAAACCCCTAATTAACCGCATCCAATCTCTCATCAGCTGTTGAGGGTGGAAAGCACGCCTCCAGTTGCAGTTGGAATAACTACTTCCCAACCAGGTCCTTTGAGAGGAAGCACGCTAACACATGATT